CCTTCCTTGGAGTCCCCTCCCTCTCTCCCCTCCAGCAGATCTGGGCATTTCCTTCTTTACTCCAAGGCTGCCCTTTGCGCTCCCCTCCCCCAGCATTTTTTCTAGATTGAAACAACTCACTTTCCTGTGTCCCTCCCAGGCGGCAGGAGCTGGATCGGCTCACAGCTCTACGGCGGTCAGGCAGAGAAGAGAGGTAGGCGGAGGGGTGGCTGCAGGAAGAAATGAATGGCATATGCCATCGGCCCTGCCATCAGCCTGCAGAGAAACCATTCTCTTCCGCAGGGCCGTAGTCCGTGTCGGGACCAGCTGACCGCTGCGTGGGCTCCTGGTTCCTGCACCCACGACAACCAGGACCACGTCCACCGTCCTTGTCAAAGCCCGGCCTCTCCCCGTCCCCAGCGAGGCCCCCACCCAGCCCAGGACCAGAGTCCTCCCCTCAGTTCGGTGTCCTCACCCCAAACTAGGAAGGATGGTTGGAATCCGCCAGCGGGTGCTGGACAGAGGAGCCACGTCCGTTTGCTGTCTGTGACGTGAGCACTCAGTAAATATTTGTGGAGCGAAGGCATGAAGTACTATAAATATTTGTTCCAATCGAGATGCAATCAGTCTCAGAGAGAAAAAGTTTGCAAAACCAAAGCAAAGCATCGGGATTTGCAGGCACTTGAGGTTAGCAGGTTCCAGAAGGCTAAGGTTTTAAGGACACGAACGTGTGCTCCTTGCAGTCGTCAGCCCCTTGTAGGTGAGAGGGGGAAGGCTCAGGAGCGAGGGTCCAGTGGCCTTACCTCCCAGGAGACATTCACCACTGCTGTGCCCGTGTCCCAGCCTGGCGGAGGGCCCGATGCCAGCTCCCCACTCCCCAGAGATTCTGGCGTTGGATGATTACCCCAGAAAACGCTTCCAACCTTACTTGGGGCAGTTTTCTTTCTCCTTTTTATTTTTGACCCTTAAGTTGTCCTCATTGAATTCAAACCATTAGGAGAAACATTTGAGTTGACCTGTAATTTCATAAAGAAATCATTTTTCGAAGCGGATGCAGTGGCAAGGACTTCCGCTGACGCAAACTTACATCACGTGTCCTGGAAAATCAATGTGTCCATCCGAGCTCCACACTACACGCTCCCACAGGAACTTTACCAAACCCAGAAGAGCACGTGGAGCAATGATGTCCGTGGGGAGCCCCACCTTGCAGAGATGAGTTTTTCATTTTACTTTTGTTTAAAACAATAAACACTTTGTACATGTATCTTTACAAGCAGCACGTAGCTTCTTAAGAAAAAACAAGAACAGAGCAATGGGATGGCCGTCCCGAAGGGTACGCACACGTTAAGGCTCTGGGGACATAACTGCAAACTGCCCTATGCTCTCATCAACTTTTTCATCATTTCCAATTTGATGCACAGTCTAAAACACAAACAGACACGGTCGGCTGACTTCTGGTAGCTCGAAGGCACATATGCAGCTCCCTGGTCTCACCGAGTTCTTGTCCAGCAAGGTGACAAAGAGAAAAGGCAAAGCCGAGGCCTGCTCGAACCCTCCAGGTCGGACCTGCTCCTTCTCGTCCTGCCGTGTCCTGCACGCCTATTCCAACAGCCTACTCGACCTATCGGAGCGTCTGAGTCTAGTGATTTTCCTGGGGACGAATCATCTCGTCCTAAAAGCAAAAGACCGAAGTTATTCCGAAGCACCAGGGCTCCCCTGACTGAGCTCCCTGGGGGGCTTCTGGCACCAGATGTCCATTCCCAGCTGTGCCCCCACCCCAGAGACCACGGCCTTTGTAGAGACAGCAGATGACGACGACGCTGAGGATGGTGGGCAGAAGCCAGTCACCAAGGAGAGAATTCAGTGGCTGCACAACCTTGGATGGGGGGGAAAAAAAAAAAGTCTCTGTTTCACTAACCTCTAATTGTCATTTAGCATTTGCTTTGGTAATAAATGCAGGTGACAAACCGTGCTGGTGTTAGCTGTTCCTGTGACTTCATTACCAGTAGAAATTAGAGATGTTTCAGATTTATTAAAGGTGTCGCAGGTATTTCAAAATGCCACTAAACTCATCACTGCTTTGGCAATTACAGCAATTAATGAGACCCACTACTGGATCGTGTTAGTTAAAATGTTAATAAGCATTATCGATGGCCATACCACTAACTTATTTTTTTAAGATTCTGATAACTGTATTTTAATATAAAGGTTTTCTCTATGATCCTGCATATTTTATTTTAATATCTAAAACCTTGTTCTAGGGGAAAAAAGCATTCGTTTATTACCTGACGAAGACTGTAAAAACAAACAAACAAAACGCCTTGCTCTGAGAATGGTTCAGCGGGCACCGGAAGGATCTTAGCATAAAAAAAGATGAAGAGCCTGGCGAAGGCAGTGAAGATTTGAGCCCTGTGGGGAGAGTGAACTTTCTGTGTTATAACCCAGAGTTCCCTGGCGCCGGAAGGACAGAGGCCCTTCTGAGTGCTTCTCATTGCCTTGTTTTCATTCATTCAAAAGACATTTATTTAGCAGCTACGCAGTGCCGGACAAAGTGTAAAAACGGCGCCCAGACAGCCCTGGTAAGAGAATTGCTGACCCCGGCAAGTGAGAGGGTGAGGTGAGCAGACCCAGGAGCCGGGGCTCAGAGAAAACTGATTCCGGCCGCTCGGCCACTCGTTGCTTTGAAACCTGTAGACAGACGCTCCTCCCTGGCGTAGAAACGCCATCAGAATAACTCAGGACTCTTATCACTTATCTGTGACTCCCGTCAACCCTGCCCATCAAAATCCTGCTTATCCCTCAGGATCCCGCCCTGCTCCTCCCCACCAGCTGGAGCTCATCACCCATGGGCTTTAGCACTGTCCCCTCTATGTGTGTTCCCTACGAATCTGACTCGCCTCCAGGATCCGAGCCCCCTCTGTGCTGTCTGGCAGCTTGAGAGGCGGAGGGGCCGATCCGGAGCCCAGGGGTCCAGCTTGGCTCCAGATCGGCCTCCTCCAGTTCTTAGCTGAGGGACGGGGCAACTTACTTGCCCCTCTGCTGGCTGATTCACACTGATGGGCTTGCAAAGGACCAAGCTGTAACCCATGCTACACCAAGACCTCTCTCCGAACTTTCCTTCTGCTAGCCCCAGCAATCAAATGGGATTTCCAAGGAGACACACTCACTCACTCTTTCAACCGGAAGGCTGCTTCAGACGCTTGCTCTCTGGCCTGGAACCCCCTCCCTCCGCCATGATGTCCTTTCCCACCTGCCCCACCTCGTCTTTTCAGACTTTTAAGTCAAGTTGCTCCCTCTTGGAAGCTTCTTCAGACACTTCTCATCCACCCACTCCAGCACCCCAGGTAGAGATGACTCCTTCCTCCTTCATGTCCCATTGTACCCTGAACATTTTATTTCAAAGGCTGTCTATGTCCCCTCTCTAGCTAGTTCTCACATTTGTGGCCCCAGCATCGAAAAGGCAATATGTCCTTGCTGAATCGGGAAGTGAGTGGAGGAATGCATGCATGAACGAATGAATGAATGAATGCCCCTTCTCTCTGCTCCCCACGTCTTGAGAGCTCTGCCCTTCCTCTTCCCATCAGTCTTGCTTCCAGGGCTGTCTTGGACATTAACTCTGTGATCGTGGATAAGTGACTTCATGTCCCGGGGATTTGGTGTCCCCTCTGTAAGGAAGGAGGGGGAGGACCAGAGGCTGTTTAGAGACACCCTCCCACCCCTGCCCCTGGGTAATGTGACTCTGTGTGCGACTTTGCAGGTCTCGGCGCTGTTGGGGTAGAACCTTCTAAGGACACGCTCTCTGTCCCAGGCACCCACCCGGGACCCGCGTCTTGACCCTCGTATCTGGTTGGCCGGGCGGTCCTCTTAGATGGATGGCTTTCATGCCTTTACATCTCAACACCGTCCACCCCTCCCCCGTAAACCACTGCTCGAACCCAAGCCCCCCATTCCCTCCCACAGGGCCTGTCTTCGAATGTAACGACCTCAGTGACCGCCAGTCTCATCCGGACCCATCCTGTCTTCGCATAGCCCCAGCCCCCCACCCCGGAGCCTGGTGATTTGGGGACAGAGGCTTGTGCAGAGATTGCAAGGACCACGTGGGGGTCTAGATTTGCTATTAAAATAAAAATTCCTCGACTTTAGTCGCTTCCTTCCACAAACCTGTGTGATTCTACCTTCAGCGCTTTCCTCAAACTTCCAGCCTTTGTCACCTGCATCTGCACCCACCTGCACGTTCTGGCCCTTCTCAGAAAACCCGGTCCCTCCCCCCGCACTGTGGTCCAGGCCTCCTCAGGGAGTCAGTTACCACCTATGATTGACAAGCATAGGCAAGTGCCTCCTATTTTAAATTTCTGCCCCTGATCTTCTGTCCAGTTGTCCCTGCCTCTCTCCCTCCTAGAGACAAGTCCGTCAGGACACTGGTGTCCACTCGTCAACTCCCTTCACCTCCCTTTCCACGCTCAGGCCCTCAGGGCAGGTCTCGGCTCCGCCCACCCGAGCGCCTGTCATGCTTTGCTCGACACCCTCCGTGGACACTTTTCCGTTTAGACTCTGTCCCAGCATCTCTCAGGCACAGTACAGTGTCACCCACACCCTTTTCCCGGATTTCCCTGCCGCCCAGGGCTCGCCTGCCCCTCTCACCTCTGACTGCCCTCGGCCTCCTCCGTGGGTGGCTCTTCCCGGCTCCTCCCTCGGCCAGATTTTCCCAGGCTCCATCCTCCACCCTCCTGCTCAGCGCCAGGCGCCCGGGGCGTGCGGGGTGTCCCCTGGACCGCAGGGCGCACACGTCGGCCCTGGTGGCAGCGCAGCGGCTGCGTGTCACTGCCAGGGAGGGCGACAGGCCGGCCGCGGTGCTCAGTGGCCCCAGTGCCGTCCCCTGAGCCCACCCCAGACCCCAGCGGCCTCGCCACAGCTGCAGGAAACGGGCGCTGGTTCCATTCCGCGCCGTGTGGGCACAGGGGGCCACCCACATTCTTCCACTCACCCTCATTTTGTCCCCATTTTATCCCAGAAGACACAGCTCAAGGATCGCTTTCTCGGGCAGGCTCCTAGGACCGCCCGAAGTAGAGCTGACCGCTGCCTCCATGCAGATGACCGCTGGTCATTTTACGGGATGGTCTCGACCACGAGGACCAGGTACACACTCCAGGGGACGTGTCCTTCACCTGTGATGTTAGTATGATTTTTCACACGCTGGTGGGCGCAGTTTGAAACCATGGGAGGTGGACCACAGTTCTTTATCTCCAAACGGAATTCCAAGTATGCAACAACAATCATGCCTGTGGGAAAAACAAATAAGCCACCAGAATCCCGGCCTGTTGACCAGGAAATAGGGGAAGGGCCTGTGTTAGTTGGGGACCCTCTAGTTTGCAAGCCAC